AATTTGTTCTCCTCCATTTTTTTACAATCACTCAATTTCTTCAATTCAAAAGAATGTTAAATACAAAGTAATAGACCGATCTAGTTGAAATTTAGTGTGTGTTCTTCCAAGATATGCTAATGAATAAAAAAAATCTCGATATGAACTAGTAGCGCTAACTCTATGACTTTACCCAGACTTTTTAAATAACCCTCGTATAATGTATAGAAGACTTTGTTCAGCATGTTCAGAAATATATAACTTCAATACCGTTAATATATATAGCATTTGGAGAAGATTTTCGTAACAATAAAATGGAAGAGAGAAATATTTCTATAAAGTTTGATAGTATCCGTCAATGCCATACTATATGTGGAAGTCTCAGCCATCCTCCAGGGAGACCAAATGTTTCATTGCTAGAAGTGCTGTACATCAATGGATTTAAGTGGAGAAAACAAACAGACAATGACTACTACGAGACTTACGATAAAGAAAATTTCAAAAAAAGGACAAAATAAAATTAAATAAAATTAAATAATAAAATAAATAACCCTGCCTGTGGTTGCCTTAAATGGAATTTTTTTAAATTACTGACCAATTGTGAGCGAAACCTACGTGCATTAAAAGATTTCAAGAGTTTTTGGATACTCTTGTTTTTCAGATTTTTTTTTAATCCTTGTATCTCCTTCTTCTTGCACTTATTCCAAAGAGCGTAAAATATTTAATTATGTATCTCCAATTTATCAATTTCCAAATTTCAACAAAAAGAGTACAAAGTAATAAATTACAGTAGTACAAAACCAAAATTCTCAAATCACAAAAAAGAACCAAAACGAACAAAAAGTAAACAAAACATAAAAATGATATTTATTAAAATATAAACATATGACATTATGTTTTTTCTTTAATTTTTTTTTTATTTATAAAACTTTATATGTTTCATGATATTCACTCGAAAATGAAAAATATTTTTTAAATTTTTTCTCCATAGAAAATCAGACTGGTATCCATTTGAAAATATTGGTAGTACGAATCTATAAAAAAAAACAAAAAAAATGGCCTTTTTAAGATATAACGATTTTTTCAAGATGGACTTTTTCGAAAAAGTGCATAATCTTTCAAGAAATACACTTATGCACATATTTGATCATGTAGATTTAAAGGGTTTGTAATTCTCTATCATACGAAAAAGGCTTCATCTAATTGCGACAAACGAACTTCAGAAAGTCAACATTGATTTTTTTTAGTTCATTTCTTATGTTCCATTTTAGAAGTGCATTTTCCAAGTGCATACAACTATGCGTCTAAGAAAATAAAGGAAAAATACATATCGCATTTTTTTAAATATCGAATCGTGCAAAATAGTTTGGTGTGGTTCTTTCATGGGTGCCCGTGGAGCTCTGTTTAATGTGAGATGGAATCGGCTATTATATTGACTTCTTCGAATATTTTCACAAATTTTAAGAAAACATACCGATAATTACCCTGCTGAAAAAATTTCTTTGGGCACTATTCAATATTATTCTAATTTAATGATAATCAATTATATTTAATAAAATGAATGGATAAATGTTCCAGTGACAATTAAATAAATCTTTTCCTATGGTAATCAGAAGAAACGGTAAAAATGACCATTATTTCCGGGTAGGTAGTGTTCATGCACATAAGAATTATACACATAGTCATTTTATTTTATTTTATTTCTTACACAAGGATAAATTGATTGTGCACCATAATTTCAATGAATATTTATCTCGATAATATTATGCACACAATCGTCAAGGTAAATAATTAAGAGACACAGTCGTGCACTGGACATTGTACACTCCTTAAAAAATAAATAATCAAAGGATACTGATGATTTTGCACAAAGAAACTATGCACTTTCGTTGATTGATAGTGCACCAAGTTCTACAAAAAATCGGTAGATATTGTTGTTGCACTATCAATCAACGTAAGTGCATAATTTCTTTGTGTAAAATCATCAGTATCCTTTGATTATTTATTTTTTAAGGAGTGTACAATGTCCAGTGCACGACTGTGTCTCTTAATTATTTGCCTTGACGATTGTGTGCATAATATTATCGAGATAGATTATTCATTGAAATTATGGCGCACAATCAATTTATCCTTGTGTAAGAAATAAAATACGGATTTGTTTGTGTACAATGATTATGTGTATAATTCTTATGTGCATGAACGCTACCTTCCCTTATTTTCAATTATAATAAATAATTTTTAGTGAAACCTTGAATAAATATCAAGTCAATAGTATTTTATTATGTAATATTTTATAAATTCTAATAAATTTGTCAGAAAGTTCTTGAATATCTTTTAAAGAATATCAATAAATGATGAATAAAGATTACATTTAATCATATTTAATTAAATCATATTCTATATATTCAAATGCTTGTAAGAAAAATAATTCACCAATGGTCTAAAATTAAACAGGTTTTAATAGATTCAAAAATTAATGAACGAGTCGTATTGAATTGAATCAATTTTGCGAAACAAAACTGGATAATGTACAAAATTTACAAATCTAAAAATATTGTTCCAATAAATATGAAACATTAGCACTACTTTCAAAGATAAAAACATATAAATACCTCATGAAAATTATTAATGCTTTACCTTAATATATATTATATATAATTATCAATAATATAATTATAATATATATAATTATCAATCAATATAATACAATCAGATTAAAGATCTACTGAATTGAATTAAATTGAATTTTTTTTGGAAATTATAAAAATTAATCGAATCAAATTAAATTGAGTAGATCTTTTACTTGATTGTAAATAAAATATGAAATAAAGTACGCTCTCATTAAAATGTTTTATCGTTCGTTGTTTATCATCTTTAAAATATTATTAAAAAATAATGGCTGATCGATTACATTACCAAACAATCATTAGAATCATCTTGGAAATCGTAATTTAAAAAAAATTGACTTACTCGTTCAAAAATTAAAAGGTGTTTTATATGAGCGGTAAAAAATAAAAAATGCTTTAGCTTTTTAATGTAAAAAATGTCATTTTCAATTTAAAATAAACCAACGGAATACAAAAGATATTGCTTTATTCTTTAAAATGAACCTTCGTCAGTTTTTCTACGTCTATTATAGACGAAGCTAGAAAACTTTCTTTTCATAGCGCAAAACAACAGCAGAGTAAATCATCAAAATACGGTCATGTCTATACAAAGAAAATCATAAAGCACTTACACGTTGAATAAATTAATTATTTTTGAAATATCATATGTAAACTATTGTAATACGTAGAATATATTAGTTCATTTTATAGGATAACATCAATATTTACTCGTATAAATATTGTATTTCATATCAATATTGTAACTAATATGGTAATATTTTAGGAAGATATATAAACTAATGTATATATTATTTATGAAATAATATATGGAAATTACTGCTTAATGCATAAAATGTATTTAGTTCATTTTCTAAAACATAACAAATATTTACTAATATAAATGTTGCATTTAATATTAATATAGTAATCAATACGATTGTATGTTTCGTGAAATTATATCAAATTTCTGATAACAAGAAAATATTTATAATTAAATAATTATATGGTGTTACTTATCTGAAAGTAATTTTATAAATTAGGCGAAAGGTTGTAATAATATACAAGATCGTCAAATATCAGGCATCATTAAGTTATTAAGTTATCCATGTAAAATTATGAAGCGTAACTGAATATCACTCTTTCTTTGTTTATATTGCAATCATTGAGTTACTGATGCTATCGTTAACTATTGAAACATTTTTTGGGAATAGCAGTTCATAAACGCTAACCAACAATTTATAAATATATTATATGCAAGTTTATTTTTAATTTCAAAATAGACGTAGTTATTTTGGCCTATATATTTTCATATTTTTTATAAAAGTATATTGATGATGTGTGTAATTAGTTTACTTGTTATCAAGCTTTTTAGTTCAATTAAAAAATCGATTTATGATAAATATTTGTTATTGTTATTGTTATTGTTACTTCAAGGACTACGTCCACGTGGAATGCTGCAGAGGTAAATTAAGTACCTGTACGCATTAGTATTGGTTCCCTATATTTATGAATATGCAGACTTACCTCCCAGATCATTTTTTAAATGGTATAGGAGGATAAAGTTTAACACACATCATGACTGGACCTAGAGTTTACGGTGGAATCCGAACCACCGGAATCACGGTAACAGATATAGGTTCAGAAAATTTCATTTCTGAAAATCTTCACATATCCGGGGCTCGAACCCGCGACCTCTTGCACAGAAGCCTGAGCTCCTACCCACTGAGCCACCGTGACCCTTGATTATGTTATATATCGTAATTTTATCATCGTAATTTTATTATAAATATTAATTATAAAATTAAAGGAACTATGAAAATTATTAACATTTTTTTGTAGATTTTTTTTAGTAAACCTTCAAAAAAGTTCATTCGTCTATGCAGTTTTTAAAGGTACAGGCGGATTAAAGGATTCACTAATTAACAAATATACTGTTTTAGAAACTGATTAATGCTTATATCAATGTTTTTTTACTAAACGAAGATTTTTCTCATATATTTATATATATTCGTTGTAAAACTAAAATCACGCGTGCGTTCATGTATCCGTGCGAGTGAACGACCTGGCCCATACAGCTAAACCGGATAACGGTCCCAATTCAGCTTACCTTACATACCTATCCCTACCTTCACCACTCCTTCGCTATTTTTTTAGCTCTCTTTTTAACTAACTTTTCCTTTTTCTCTTATATTTTATGTCACAAAAAACTATAAATAAGCTATTACTATCGCAAAAGTATAAAAAATAAATGAACTACTCAAAAAATTAGCTAAATAATAACAAACACAGACTATAATAGTACATAGTCATTATTTTCATATCCTGCTACATTAAATCCAGATTATTTATAGACCTTTCATTCAATATATGTTAAGTATATACTACTTTTTGCAAAACAAAAAAATAAGTACTTACTTCTTGAGTTGTGCCGGCTTGTTGTCCATGTCAAGTAGCACCAACTAAACTCTGTACACCAATTCAAAACTCTTTTTGAATGTCTCCGATATTTAGCAGATTTAATCCATGTCGTTACACTGGCAGTTCTTTGCTTTGTTTACAAAATTGAACTTTATATTTATTCTTAATTACCAATATCCAATTTAATGAGATAGTCCTGACAACAGTGTTACGAATAACAGGTAAACAAATTGAGCAGGAAAAATACACTTTCAAAGGATAGATTTTTTGAAATAAGAAGTACTACCACAAATGATTTCCAGTGTTAACGTAAGGAACGTTCTGTCTGTCTGCCTCTCTCTTTTTCTCTTAATATTTTTATTCTTTGTTTCTCACTCTTTATCCTATTATAACGTCATATCTGGGCTGCTAATATAATAACATATAGGTAAAGCTATTGTTCTTTGGCGAACACTATCACGAGGTTCACGAGCTAAGAAATTTAAGCAAAGAAACAATTCACATGATGCGAAATCCGGTAGCAAAGCAAGCCATAGGAGAACTGGACTCCCAGTAACTGCCAAGTAGAATGGATCGTAGTATATTCGGTGATGGTGAAATGGCGTAGCGGCTGTCTGTACTATATAGGTGTAAGTGCGCTCGCGCATTGCTCAACAACCCTGGATTGGAAATTATACTATACCACCACGTATATATGAATATATCTGCTCGCTTTGCTTGTCAATCTCCGGTATTAATAAATGTTACATAATAATATATGTTAAAAATGATATTATTTCCACACCATCATTGAGGTAAATATCATGGCGCGTTTCTTACAATAGTATTTCCAGTAGGACTAATGCATTAAATAAATACGTTAGTATAAAATTCAATCTTTCGTATTAAACAAATATTTTCAATATAATTTCATAAATTTTTGTTCTGTACCTTTGTCTTTAAATATTAGGAATCGACTATTGCAATTTTAATACATATAAATTAATGTTTTATTTGGTTTCATTATGATGACATTTATATTTATTACTAAATAATTATCACTGTCAATAATTTAACAGTTTCGTAATATTTTATTAACATACGTCATAATATATAATATAATACTATAGACAATAACCCAATAATACGATAACATGCGATATTTCAACGTTTTTCGTTTTAACTATTAATGAAAACATCATGATGCATTTTTTTATAATAGTATTCCCAGTAAACCTAATACACTGAATAAATATGTCTGTATAAAATGCAATCCTAAGATTTTTCATATTAAAAAAACATTTTTCATATTAATTTATATAATGTATTTTATACTATTGTATTTCAATATTCAAGATATTACCACTTTAATATGTAGAAATGATTTAAAATTTGATTTTACATTAATAATTTTTTATACTCATAGGATTCAAATTGAAACAATTATTGCCATGCACTGCCATATTACAATGGCTAATTTTAGACTATAATTATTTAGATAATTGTTTTTTTCAAGCCAATAAAATTTGAGCCATAAATTGTTTTTTCAGTAAAAATTGTATAAATTGTTTAAAGCTACACCGTAAATTTTTAAGCACTTTTGACCACCTATTAAAATCGTAATTTTTATAAGAATAATTGGTACTTCAATTACAATGTACATAAATTTGAAAGAATGTAATTGGTTCGTCATTATGTATTAATTCTTGATTTCTTTGATTAAAAATCTTAATTAATATATCATTAATTCATCTTCATTACTTATGTGTGCCATCATACCAGAAAGGCTCCAACCCACTGGTCAAATATCAATATCATTAGTATATTTGGACGAATATATTGATACACTATTAGTATCATCAATATTCGATGATAAATTATTCATTTTGCTAGAATAAATACAATAATAGATTCATTCGATTTTGGTTACGATCACTTCATCATTGTACTAAAACAATGAAAACTATTTCATATTGCACTAATTTGTCAATATACTCTGTTAATCGTATCACTAAATATTTCTTTTCAAACAGTACTTTTTATATCTTTGTTATTACAATTATTATTTAGGGTAAAAATTGTTTTTATTTTTACTGCAAGATAATCCAACGTATAATTAACTATATGAAAACTATGGTATATCGATATACAATTCGATAGTCAAAGCCCACATAGCATGAAATATTTCACTGAAATATTTCAGAGAAACCTTGCAGAAATATTGTAGAAATGTTTCCGAAACAGTTTAGAAACATTTCCATGAAATGTTTCATTTAAGCTTTTTGAAATACTGCATCAATATCTCTATGAAATATTCCGTGGCAACTTTCGAAATTTTTTAGAGAAACTTTGTAGAAATCTTGCAGAAAAATTTCGAAAAATCTTTCACGAAAGGTTTTGAAGGGTTCGTAAAATATTTCGGAGAATATAATGTTATTTTGAATGAATTTACATTCATATAATAATTGTTTTAAAGTTTTTGCTACACTTTTGCAAAGATTATATTTGTTTATTTATTAAGATGACAATGAATATTTTACCGAGGCTTCTTATTTATAATTATTACATGAAACGATAGGATCAGAAGTTTTCAATTTATTATTTGTAAAACAGATCTACAATATTTTTTCTGCAATATTTTTTTAGATATTAATGAATTAATTTTTCTTTGGAATATTTCATGCTATCAAAGTTTCTAGAATATGTACAATAATATCTTAGAAATAATGTGTAAAATATATTATCAAAGATATATTTTATTCTGGAAAATAAATAAATAAATAAGATTATAAAGATATTTTTTACGAAGGATTCTGAATATATTGTACAAAATATTTGCAGAAACATTTGAAGAATCATTAATAAGAATTAAAATATTTTAGTAATATTGCTGCAAGATTTCTACAAAGATTCGATATAAAGTATTATTAATTGTTATTTTTTTATGAAAAATTGTACTACGTTGAAGAGTTACAAAAAGTTTCTAAAATATTTAAGTGAAAGACGTACCGGAATATTTGGAAAACGTTACGGATAATTTTACTTAACAAGTTTCAGCAACTTTCCTGAAACATTGTGCGGCAATAATATTGTGATGTTGCTTCTTCTATGTTTTCCTAATGTTTCATGAAATGTTTCTAAAAAAATTGCTTAAATATTTTTTGAAAATATGTTACACAATGATTCTGCAAGGTTTTTGCGAAGTTTCTAGGAATTGTTTCAGTGTAATATGATCGATAAGTTTCGAAATATTTCTGCAATTAGTTTGTTGAAATATTTCACAAATTGTTTGCAGAAACCTGGCAGCGATATTACACGAAATATTTCGCTAAAATCTTTTCAATTTATTTCTTAAACATTGCCACAATATTCTGCAAGATTTCTTGGAAATATTTCAATGAATTACACAGCTCCACAAAAAAAAATGAATGTATTTTCCCCGATATCTGACTGTATGTTCTTTATGTTTTTGAGGTCGCTGAATCCGAATCCGGGTCCGTTTGACTCCATCACGTCAGGGTTAAGGGCATTTGAAAGTCAAATTGCGAAAATTTTAAAAAAATTCATAATATATTTTTGGGATTCCTGATTCCAAATCCAATCTTTTTTGAACCTCAACATGTCAGAATCAAGGTCAAATGAAGGTCAAATCATTCAAATCGGATGATACAATATTTTTGACTCCAGATTCTGAAAGAGCGGAAAATTTTACGTCCGAATACGTAGTAACTTTTTTTTTAAACCGACTTCTGTAGGTCGCGTTGCGGTTATCCAAAATAAGACTTGGATATCTAGTTTTGGAATCTGTTGGCAGCGGTTTTTTCCATGTGTTTGCATCCAGGACACCTCCCCGTGGTGACGGCGGGCAACGGAGTTGTCTCGCTATCCGGCAAAGTTCCTGGGTCATGATGCTCATGCCGTCATGGCAAACACACCGGAAAAACTTACGATGCAGGGGGTCGGAACCCCAGTATCGGCGGCTGGTCAGGGTGAGAAAGCGGGCCCGCAGGCGTCGTCATCATGCGACCGTAGCTTTGTTAAGGTGGCTAACTTGGCCTTACCAAAGTATAAAGCTACAAGTATAGCCAGAACCTCTAGACATGAGCATGACAACCCGGAAAAACCAAATTATTTTTGTTACGTTTGTGCTGCATACGCACCACCATATAGCCGGAAAAATATCACTCGTGCTGTGCGTACTGCATACAGTTATTGTTTTTCATCAGAAATATTGAATCAAGATGAGAATTGGGTTCCACATGTCGTTTGTCTGCGCTGTCATAAAATGTTGCTGACATGTTATATGAAAAAGGACCTTTCAAAGTTGGAATACTCTGTATCAGTGACATGGAATATGCCAGAAGCAAAACAAGACTGTTTCTTCTGCAATACCATTACTCACGGATACAATAGGAAAAATAAATCAAAAATCAAATATATTTTTACCGATAAAGTAATTCCAGCTGTTTTGATTTCAAAAAATAGTGGTAATGCCAAGAATCCTGTTGTAGACGTCCTGGCCAATGAAGAAATAGATACCGAAGAAGTACAAACAGAGGAAAGTGACAGCGAGATAGAGACAGACAAAAGAAGTGAAAGTGACGAAAACCAGGATGAAAGGAATAAGGAGCCTACAAAATTTACGCAGAATGAATTGAGTAACTTAGGAAGAGAGTTAGGACTTTCAAAGGAAGCTCATGAACTTTTGGCTTCAAGGCTGAAACAAAAGAATCTTTTGGAAGAAGGTGTAAAGATTTCAATTTATAGGAACAGAGACCAAGAGTTTTGACGTTTCTTTACTAAAGATGATACAGTGGGATTGGTGTATTGCAATGATATCAACGGACTTATAAATAGTTTCAAAGTTAATGTCTACAAGCCGAATGAGTGGAGACTATTTATAGATTCTTCTATTCGTAGTTTGAAAGTGATATTGCTCCACAATACGAATGTACTGGCTCCAATACCCATAGCTCACTCTACACTTCTCAAAGAATCTTACCAAAATATGAAAATTGTTTTAGAAAAAATCAATTACAAAGAACATCAATGGAGAATCTGTGGTGACTTCAAAATAATTGGAATTCTTCTTGGGATACAGAGCGGGAATATTAAATACCCTTGCTTCTTGTACCTTTTTGACAGCAGGGATCGTCAAAATCACTACATCAAAAAGGAATGGCCAACGAGAAATTCTCTGCAGCCTGGATCGTCCAACGTCATTCAGCCGCCTCTTGTAGATACATTAAAAATTTTAATTCCTCCACTGCATCTCAAACTTGGTTTCATGAAGCAATTTGTCAGAGCTCTAGATAAAGATGGAGATTGCTTTAGATATATAGTGAAAAAAATGCCCAAACTCAGTGAAGCCAAGCTAAAGGCAGGCATTTTTGATGGTCCACGGATCCGAACGCTCTTCAATGATCCCAATTTTACATCTCAAATGACAAATTTAGAGAAAGCGGCATGGACTAGCTTCCATGCAGTTTCTAAGTATTTTTTAGGGAACAATAAAAGTCCGAATTATAAAAAACTAGTAGGTGTTATGATTGAAAACTATATGAATTTAGGATGTAATATGAGCATCAAATTGCATT